GAGGAAAGGCTAACAACTGATGACGATTGGTGGATTGAAATTATGGGATAGCTCTGCAAGGGTCGCACATGGAGCTCATTATGATGATTTGTGTTTTTTGTGTGTGAAAGGCACCCGTTACCCCCTTAGCAACATGTTGTGTGGTGAAAAGAAATTGTGGGATAGCTATTGGCGCAGATGATTGTTGTTTCTTTGTTTGATTACTATGCTATTGCTTGAGAAAACGAACGTTATCTCAGAAACATTATAACTTTGGATCGGAATAGGGGATAGCTCCTTGAGATAACAGCTATTAGACCCAGTAATATTTGTTTTTGCTTTTGTTTAAGAAAACGCATGTTATCTGAGAAACATCAAATTTTGGATTAAATTTTAGGAGTAACTCTGTTAGGTAGGTATTCGCGCCAATTAGAAGTTGTTTTGAGGATTTGGACTTACATAACTTTGATTGTTAAAATACATGTTACGCTAATAACACGCTAAAAGTGGATAGAAAATTATGAGTCAGCTTTATTGGAATACCTTTCAACGCCAATGGTATTAGGAGGTGTATTTTTTTTTTTTTTTGGGGAAAACACACGTTACCTTAGAAACATGATCAACATTCTGGGAAAGCATTAAGGAATATATATTTATAGCATCGACTATTTCTGTTGTTAAAGTTGCTATAGAAACAAACGAGCTTGTTAAATTGAGGGGGAAAAAAATATTGTTGAAATGCACGTTACGATAGAAACAAGCTGATTAATTTCATAGGTATAATAGAAGAAAAAAAAAGCACGACCGTTATGCACAGTCAGACAAATTAATATCGAGCCTCATTACATTATCAGCCCTAGTTAGACACATATACCAATACAGCGTCACACTTTAATGCCCTCGCTTTGGAAGAATAATGAATGGCATCGTTTTCTCCCGAGGGTTGGTACTCTCAAAGGTTCGTTTATTCGAATTATGAGAATGAAATAAGGTTCATTATACTTTGAACCAGGTTTGCAATCGTGAAAGTTAAAATTCTCTCTTCCTTTCGGAAGTAAGAACCCTGTTTCATCTTCAGAATTATCATTATGAACCTTGGAAATGACGGAAATTCGTAATATTGAACTATCGGAAGTAAAATATGGTCATGACAATATTAATAAACATTAAACAAATAAACATTACCATCTTATTCAATATAATCTTGGGGGCATAATGCCTCCCTCCCCTGCCGTATTAAGACCTCAAATAGCCCGGCATTTTTAGGGTTAAGGCATCTACATAATGTCACCACTTTCTGCATAGGCGAATGCAAGGTGAACAAAAACGGCCACGTTCCCTGTCTGATAAAGAAACAGTGACATAATGAAAATATTTTAAAAATAGGGGTAAAGAATTGGTCTGCAAGCCTCTCCTGTTCAGAACCACAAGAGAGCCAGATGGATTACCGTGCGGAAAAAAAAGTAATTACGAAGCGAAAATGGGAAATCATTTCCCACGCCCATCCTGTCGGAGCAATAAGCTTCGGAGTTATGAACCTCCTTCGATTTAAGAGTAATCACTGGTATAAAAAGCTTGGGCGTTCATAATTATTTTTCTTCATAAAAACGAATTTTTCAAAAATAAATACGAGTGCCCCAGGCCATGCCCCAACTGGGTTGACAAATAGCCAGTATAACAATGGTTGTCTTTAATACCCCATTCACAGTGGTTTTGAAATTTGTAGCGGCGTTGTAGCGGAGCGGCGACACCGCCATAACACCGCTACAAATGCATTCACAGTAGAAAAGTTATCCCGCTGCAGCAGCGGGATAAATATCATGTACCCATTCACGCTGCAGCGGGTGATTTTTATTACCTCCGTAACAAACACGTGTATGCATGGCTCATGACCCGCGAGTGACCCCGATATGACCGGAAATACTTGCTTGAAATTGCGCGGTAAACATGTCAAGTTGCTTTTTGTATCCTCGATCATATTACTTTTTAAAAAACTAGCATTTTTATTGCTTCCAGTCAGAATATTTTAATTTTTTGAAGTGTGAAATATTTTTATTTGGATAATTATAATACCTACATAATAATAAAATCAATTTGAATCCACTGGTTACTTTATTTCTATTTCACTTTATGTTCCCCATTGCTGTAGAAAAGAAGTCAGTGATAGGTAAGTAAACAAATCACACGTGTTTGTCGCGGTGTTATAGCGGAGAGCCTTCACACTGAGTAAACACCGCAACAGCAGCGGGACTGTCCCGCTGCTGTAGCTAGGCGTCCCTAGCGATAGTTTGTGTCGGCGTTATCGCTAGGCGGTGTTATCCCGCGATAGTTTATAACGGGTCCGAGCCTTCACACTGAAGACAACACCGCGACAGCAGCGGGACAGTCCCGCTGCTGTCGCGGTGTTTGAGGCCACTGTGAATGGGGTATAAAGATGACAATCTGAGAGTTCGAGACTAAATGCAAATCCAACTATTGAAAGTGGAAACTAATTGTTATTTTAACTCCGAACAACGGCAATAGAAGCACTGTGGTTTGGTTTGGAACATTAATTTTGGCAATATAACTATTAGCGTCGAAGAACTTAATTTGAGGATTGGGACGTACATCATTTTGTTTGTGAAAATACAATACACACTAATAACAAGCTTAAAGTGGATAGAAAATTCTGAGACAGCTTCTTTGGATTACCTATCAGCGCCAACAACTTTAAGAGGGGGGAGTTGTATTTTTTGGTCTGGTAAAACACACATTAACTTAGAAACGTATTGAGTGGATCAAAATTCTGGGATAGTATCAAGGGATAGATATTGATAGCGTCAATCATTTGTGTTGTTTAAATGCGCGTTACCATAGAAATAACCTGGATAAATTGAGACGTATGAAAAACACCAGACCGTTATGCACTGTCAAAAATTTAATATCAAACTTCGTCACATAAATTTCATGAATATTTCCGGCATGAAAAAAGGTTTGAATATTTTATGCGTACATGTATAATTGAATTCCAATAATGCATCACGCTTGGATGCTCTTGCTTTGGTAGAATAATGGATGGCGTCGTTTTCTCTCTCTCTCTCTCTCTCTCTCTCTCTTTCTCTCTCTCTCTCTCTCTCTCTCCCTCTCACACACAAACACACACACACACACACACACGATTTTTGTTTTCGTTTTTCAATTAAATTGCACCTTCAAAATTGTGTTTTAGAGGCCGCCATCCTGATCAAGCGTCGCTTATGATGGCGGTCTCCTGCACTTTTCCACACATAGCTAGGGTCAGGCACGTAGCCACGGAGAGGGGGGGGGGGATCACGTGCCCCCAAAAATGTCCAAGATCGGTTGAAATTTTTTAGACCCATCCCCAGGACGTCGATCGATTACATGTACCAGGGGATCAGTTGGTATAAAACAATGGCGGCCAGCGTAATTGCAACTAGAACAACATTTATAATAGAACTAAAGAACATAAAAATACATTTTGAGAAGGAAGATACTTTAATATTCTTCCATGTCCCTCCATTACAACGTTTCTTATAACATTCCTATGACAAAAATCGGCATCTGTTATGTTTCTCTCTCTCTCTCTCTCTCTTTCTGTCTCTCTGTCACTTTATATCCAACCATTTTCTCTCTTTATCATACACACGCATAATTATGTTGTACTCCCTTTCTCTATCCCTCTCTCTCTCTCCCGCCCCCCCCCCCCCCTCTTCCTCACCCTCATATAGCTCCGGTGGTATAATTTATGCTTGCTGGACTACTGGATATAGGTAGATATAATATATGGGGATGGGAAGATAATCATAACAAATTAACTAACAAAATAATGTAAGGTTGCTGATGTGAAGAACATTGAAAGTCAGGCAACTTCATCATTCTTGACAGAGCGTAGAAAATCTTGCTGGGTTGAAGAAGTTCTTTAATTTCAATTATATATCCTCACATTCTATCAATCTACATGTATATATATCTTCCATTTTTTAAATCCTATGACTCTATCATATTCTTCTTTCACGACAAATTTATATTACTTTAAATTAAATATCTTCTTTCATTTCCACACTCTTTATCTCCTCCTTTCGAAATCTCTCAATGAATTATAAATCTCTTTCATTCAAACTTCTCTCAATATCTCTTCTCGACACGTTCTTATACGCTATGTATCTCTCTTCTTCTTACACAAACACAATTGACCGTAAAGTCATTGAAATTTAATTATTACACATGGCCTTCGGAAATGTAACGCCCCTACCAGGTTACAGGGGAGCTAAAATGATAAAATGAAGCGAACAAACAGTTCCTTGTGGTGAAATTGGTGTCAGAATGTAGAATGACTTTTATTACTAGAATAACCATAATCAAAAGTAATCAATATACAAACAATGATCATGAACACATTGTAATGCTTTAGTTTTATATAACGGTAAAGCTGTTTCATATCAATCTGCATGAGCCAGGTCTTCACCCAAAAAAAAAAGAAACCTAATGTAATTTCCAATTATATTAAACGGCTTTAAAGACATGTCTATAAAAACAATGAAATAAATGTTTAGTTAATTCCAACTAACCTTTCCTGGCTTCAATAATAACACGTAACTCAAATGATAACTAAGTATATCACAAGTAATATAAAATAGTTTAATTGCAGATAAAACATTTTCAATTAACAGTTAAAAATATATCCTGCAATGAATATAATCCTTACGTTCAATAACCAAGCAGTTCCAAATTACTCGTGCATCCGCAAAAACATAATAAGTCAAGATAAAACAACATGATATAACAGTTTTATGTTCTCTCAACAATCCACATGGACAATTAAATACATGCAGAGCTGCCAACATTTGATTTGGGTAATCAGGGAGATTTCTGAGAGAGCAGCATCGAACGACTTCATTGTTGGCGGGAACCAAGAATGGCCTTTTAGTGCCCCTGGTGGGGGGGGGGGCAGGGGGCAGGCCCCCAAAAGCTCTTGGTTTTAAGCCTCTTTGAAACCCTTTTAGAACACATTTTTTCAATGATTTCTCAAAATGGAAGGCTTTGATATGGCACATTTTATTTGCATACAATTGATAACATATGAACTTCACATCATATTTCAGACTATGAACTCCTGTTACCTCTATTGTGAAATGGGGGATGTACTTGTGGAAGGCAAGGACTGGGGTGTGCTTGAGGGTTTTCCTTGAAGTGACTGGTAGGTTGCTTGCTTGAGTTTGCTAAGGAGGTCCTTGCTATACTCCCTTTGGTAGCATGGGACATCTGTGTTGGCAATTTTCTCTGTTAGGAGTGCTTGAAGTGTTTTCAAATTCATTGATCCCCTGAAATCAGTTTTGTTCTTCCTAACAATGCTAAAAACTCTTTCACATGAAGCATTGGAATGTGGTATCACAAGCAAAGATTTCATCACTTTGCTCAGAAGTGTGTATTTCTTTGAGCCATTGCCATCCTCCATCTTTGAAATTGCAGACCATTTCTTGTCTATTCTCAAGTTTTTGTTCAGGATCTCTGGTTCCCCTGAAAAGTCTTCAACCTGGTATTGTGCAAATTCCAGCTCAAGCTTGTCCTGGGGGGTGTTTCACAAAGATCCTAAGTTGAACTTATCTCTAAGTTGGACTTAAAATTCATGGGAAGCCATTAGCATCCTTGAAAACATTTTGTAATTTTTTTTAGAAGGCATAAAATGTTGATTCAAATCATTCATATTTTCTATTATCATGGGAGATTTCATGTTCTTGATGTGGAATTGATGAAAAGTTTAAAATACTCCAATTTTTGCTTTTGAATATATTTCATTTTAAGGCTCCAATGGCTGTCCATACTTTTTAAGTCCAACTTAGTGTTAAGTTCTACTTAGGATCTTTGTGAAACACTCCCCAGGTCTCCATTCTCTGATTGTCTGTTCAAAATGCAAGGGTACTTTTCAACAAAGTATTGCACAGATGAAAATGACACATCTCTTCTGGAACTGACATCAATCACTTCAGCCTCCTTAAGGAACTTAACATCTAGTGGCCAGGTTTTCAAGGCATAGTCACATGCTGATTCATAATACTTCCTCACCGACAAGTAGAAGTATGTCAAATCAGCATCTGTAAGACGAAGGGGAGAATCATCTTCTGGGCTTGTTGTACTCTCCAGGTATTCCTTGGCATCTTTTCCAATCATTAGATCTTTATCTGACTTCTGGCAATCTCTCTTACCATACTGCACTTTCTTGACATCAGAACATTCAACAATCACTGTTGGCTGCACGAATCTAACAAGCATATCTTGGAAGGTTTTATTAAGCTGCTTATTAAGAATGTGAATGCAGGGTTCTTCTCTCTGTAGGAGTAGGTTGATGTCATCAAAGATCTTGTTACTGTATTTGAGGAAGTAACAATACAGTTTGGTTTGGGGTGATATCAGCAAACGATGGACTCTGACCAGACGTGATTCCTGAAGAATTGGTGCAGTCAAGGTTCCAGCTTACCGAGAGAGGGCGCTAAATACGATTTAACGGTCAAATTCGAATTTTCAAAACTAAGGATCGAAGCAATTCATAAAAATGATGCTATTGTCTTGCAATGTGTGTAACCTAACAAACTATTAAAGTTCATGATACTGGCATAAAACAGTCAACGTGCAGATTAGTATTTCAAATAAAAACATAAAATCGTGAGAAAATCCACCCTTCAAGTCCCGCACACGTGTTTATGAGTAAGTCTAAGTTTTAGGGAGATTAATGAGGTCCCCAACTACTGACGAAATGAACTCAGGTCTATGGTATAGAGGGGTAGACTATTTCTCGATTTTACAAATCTAAGAACTGTTCATACTAACCTGAAAAAGCTCTGTATTCCTTTTGTATTGCCCCTTGCTTTCGCGGTTTGCTTGTGTTTGTCAGATGTGATGTGGCGAAATACATCATTTCTTCCCCCACTCTTGATGGAGATATCTGCGCCGCAAACTGTACAAAATGCGTAGTATTCGCCTTTCGTAGATTTCCCAACACAAGGCCATTCCAAGTGGTAGTCATCTTTATATTTCTGATAATATTTCGACTTCGACATTGTCCTGGATGATATTTTAATACTCAAACAGAGAGCAAAATACAGCCTTGTTTTGGACAAAGTTGACTTACGCCTTCGGAAGATGCAAGTTATATCGATGCGTTCCCAACGGCAAAGGAGATCAGAAAAAAAAAGTCGGCTTCAAAATCCACTCTGCAGTAACACTGCCATGTTGGTATCAAATGATAATCCACTTAAAAATCACATCGCAAAAGTCCCCAAATCAATCCAAAAACTGATGTTGAAATGTGCAGTTTTTTGGGCCGATCGCAGCAGACAAAGTCTGCTTGTTGTATCAGTGCAACTTCTGGCTGCTCTGACGCGACCGATCGGAAACCGGCACCAACGTACCGGGACGCTACGGGGGCCGGCGAGGAAGCCGCCCGGCAGAGCAAGCAGGCGAATTGCTATCACACAAACACCACTCACATTATCACATGTTCCCAATGGTTTGTTAGATTAGCCCGCCAGTCGTTCGGCGTAACTCTCATTTATTACGCTGTTAAATAAAGTACGATAATCACGGTAAATTTATATTCGACGACTGGATAACAGGAAAATTCATATTACAGAATTGCCGTGTGTTTGTATACGTACGTACGAACTCAACATGCTAGTCTTGTGAAACAGTCGTTTATGAAAATAATACAACTTAAAATCTGGAAATCCGGGAGATTTTTGCATGGGGTCGGGAAAACGGGATATTGGGTCAAAATCCGGGAGTCTCCCGCAGGATCCGGGAGACTTGGCAGCTCTGTACATGTAATGATTGTTTGAATCATCTGAAAATAGACTTAAGATTTAATGAGCGAATATAAATAACTGTGCAATGTAATGACAGGAAGTATATAGTGAAAGCAATAATCCCTTGCTCTAGGTTCCCTTTAAACTCCAAAAGGAACTCCCTAGCTGGAGTAAAATCCGCTAAAGAAAAATATGATTTCCTCAATACAAGAAAGTGCTCTCTGTGCTCCTGTTTCACTGCATAAGCTAATTAAAAGAGAAACATTTTTTTCTACCAATTTTTGAATTAAAACATATTGCTGAAACTTCGCATACCGCTGGGTTTGCTGTTTTACTAATCAAATCACTCAAGTCCCTTTCTCCAAATAACTAATATTACTATTAAAGCCAGTTGCTCGAGCGTAGCATCACGGATACAAAATACAATATAATTAAATGTAATCAAGCTCATGAAATGTGTGTCGCAATCATTAGTTATGCCGATTAGAATTCACTAACTGCTCTAATCTATAACGTAGCAAAATACATCTCCTAAATGGGTCCAAAAGAGACCACTTACTTGACTACAAGACTGTTTATTAGTAGGTTATAATTAAGAGGCGCCACACAGTCCCTCTCTGAGAAACAAAGGTCCTGTTCACATTTATACACGACTTGGGTGCCGTGTTTCCACTTCGTTACAGTAAGTCTATGCCACTGGTTACAGGCTTGTTCATATTCTAGTTGTGAAATGGGTATCCACACACTTGCACGACTATTTCATTAGGCGTTCATTCATAGCATCAACAATCCTATTTAATTCTTCTACCGATTCTATACCTTCTAAAGTGTAATAGAAAAACAGTAAAAATAGTAAACAGTTATGTACTTGCAAAACTCATCAATTCATTATACTGTTTAATAACAATATACCGGCGATATATGAAGAGTTTTTTTTCTTCTGATTTTTAATACATTTTTAGATTTTGTATTTTTGTGGATTTAGCTCCTTTTGGAATAAAACATGTTATTCTACCTAAACAAAATCATATTTTCTCAGTAAAGTCACTGGAATTGTATTCAAATTTAGCAGCAAACCTTTCCTTTTAACTATAATAGTGAAATTACAACTAAAACAACCTTTTGAAAAGAAAGTAAACAAAATATCACAATTTCATTTCAAAAGGATCTAAATCCGTTCAATTCCAAAAGGAGCTAAATCCATGTTTCATTCCAAAAGGAACTAAATCCACAAAATCCAAAAATTTTATAAAAATCAGAAATAACTGTTAGATTTTTTTTTCTTATCATATATTATTGGTCCAGGGCAACACCTTTAGCAATATAACAACATAAAGGTACATGGTTAAAGGGAAAGTGGAGAAATTAAAAAGGTGATTTACTCAGTAGTACCCAAAGTGGATTTAGCTCCTTTTTGAATGAAACCGATTTGGATTTAGCTCCTTATGGAATGAAACATGATATTGTACCTAATTTTTTTCATACTTCCTGATGAAATTTTTGAATGTGATATAGTGCATTTTGTCCCCATGTAGGAAATCATTATTGTAAGACAAAAAACTCATTTTTGATAAAATATGGATTTAGCTCCTTTTGGAATCAAGCTCTTCATATGTATATTAACACTAAAGTAAATCAGTATAAACATACTCATCCAGCTCTTTTAATACACAATCACATACAACGCTTAAGTATATATTCTCATTGGGAGATTTGCTACACTTCACGGGCGATCATCTAACAACACAGAGTCAATGAGAATTCGGTACTTTGAGATAAAAATCCCACTCTCCATTCATATAACACGTACAAGTAGAAACCATAATGGCAGATTCTGCAGTCTTCAACTTAAATCAGAATTATGACCACAATCCTGTCTTCTAATCAAAAATTGAATCATAGTAAAATTGTAGAGTAAAGTCTCAGCCGGGGTAAAACTTTGAATTGAAACTTTTTCTTTCCAAAAAGTGTCAACAGTTGCTCCTATGGTTTCTATATATCTGAAAATGTTCCTATTCAGATCTATTCAACGTCATGTAGTTGATTCAATTATATGTGTAAGGGTGGCAGTTAAATTGGCAATTGTATACACATGTTTGTATTCGAATGCTTTCTAATTATCATAAAAACTCTAGATCTACTGTTGATTACCTTGGTATTAACCTGCAGTTTTTCTTATGTGCTTTGGGTTACTTAGTTTTTGAGGTTTATAAACCATTGACGTGATGTCATCTTCGAGTTTAAGCAGGCAAGATGTTGCAACCGACAAACGATTAAAGGTGAACGTGAGACCATGATAACCATATTATCATGTATCTAGAGATTTGCCCCCTCTAAAACACTAAAATGAAAGTAAACACACAGCAACAACCAAAACCACAACAACAACAAAGACAAAATCGATGTTTACCAGCAAGTGTTTGAGACTGGATCCGATTGTTCGGGTATCGCTGTTGTGGGTACGCTCATAGTAGTTGGAATCGGAGTTTATTCTGTTGAAAACAATGATTACAAGAAGTAACTATCAACAACAATTAAGGAACAGAAACATGAATAACGAAGGGGATATAAAATTGAACAATGTAATGTTCGTTTGAATGAAATACTCATGATGGACAACCACTAAAATATATTTATAGACAGAAGGAGCAAAATTTAACATCGGCTCCCAACATTGTTCGCGAAAGCCCATTCACGGGATAAGGTTACCGAACAAAATGGTCCAAATTGTTACATATTTTAAACATAAGGGTTGCCGCTCACGGAAAAAAATTTAAAAAAATAATTAGCTGGATGATACGTATACGATACGGTAACCTATAAACATTAAAACTGGCATTGTCAATGTAACCAGAGCTGACAGGTTATTCTATCAAAGCACAGAGCTAAATATTATTGGTTAAAAATGAAGGGGTAGACGCATCAGATCAAAGCGAATGACATAACAGTAGGCGCATGAACCCCTTCAGGAAACAGTGGGATTTTCGCTCTTTAGGTTTGAATTAATGCTTTACAAGAACTACTATATAGCATAATTCGTTTAATTTTCTCCTGCCAATGTAAAATAATTTGATATGAATGCATACATCTTTATATTAATTAATTTTGAGCAGCGCTTTGCTCACATTCTAAACACTTCTACTCTACCTTGGCATCTCGGGTCAAGGGAACCTACAGCACAATATTCAAAATAGTGTTGATTGGTGGTGAAACACCAAGCAGTGACACTTCCATCGGGGTTTCTGCAATAGTTTTCGTCTAGTCCCGCGTTAGGATAGTTAGCTGGAGTCCAATTGGGGATAGAGGTCCACGCCTGACACTTATGACCGTTGATGGTCTGAGATAAGTTTCCTCTGTAGTTCACTCCTGTAGGATCTGTCAGGCATGCAGGTGTGGCTGAAGAAAAAACGCAGAGTAATATTTGAAAAGAGCTTGCTAAAGTAATATTGATTCTAAATAACAATTTGCTCCACCTTTCCCCCGAAAAAGCAATTATTTACTGTTATGCAACGATTGATGGACAGACCAAATTAGAATTTTTTTGTGTCAGTCACTTACAGATATGACGACGCTTGACTTGAAGTGTAGGCCATATGTGACATCATCATACTTACCAGCCTGATACTTACGTGTCAGAATCACTTCCCATGCAGTGCCCACTTGAAAAACATTCAATATAACTACCTTCTAATAAACAAACAGCCAAGGTGACTACCCTCTAGCAAACACCTAAGATGACTACCCGTTGGAAAAACACCCAGGATGACTCCCCTCTAGATATACACCTAAGACTTCTACCCTCTGGGCCACAACCCAGAAATTGATGTTATCAATATGGAACTTAAATATAAATACATTAGGGGAGATAAAATCGAATAGTGTTTTTTCCATTTGTATGAAATATTGATGACAAATAACACCCATATGCATATGATTTTCAGCACACGCACATCCGCCTATACGTACACACCAATGTGATTCACACATTCATGTACAATGCAAGATGATGATGTTGATAGTGATTATACAATGATCCAGCAGCTGCCTGATCGGCGATAATATAACAGTTCGTAGTTAGCACATGGTTCAGATGATCTTTTAAACATAGATAAATTCCACTTTGTGCCTTTGGAATAATCACAGCACAGTCATGGAGGTGATTCTTTGTTTGCCCAATTGAAAGGATTACTTCCATCTGTGTTCAATAGAATGTATCATAGGAACATGCATGAATAATATTACAAAACTTTCGTGAGCATGTATCCAGTATTAGTCTAAGTGGATTTACAATTTTGTACAAGTGATCTTTGTCTGCGCATGAGCAGATTGTATCTACAAACTGGGCATTATGTCTTCAAAAGTATCGATTTAGGTCTAGGATTTTTAGGCTTTAGGTTAGGTGTAGGTTTGGGATTAAGGGTAGCTTAAGTGTTTGGTCCAGGGTTTAAGTTAAGGATTTAGTTAGTGAAGGAACTAGAATACGGAGTACTGTCACAGGAGCATTATGTCATACAACCGATACAATACAGCACGATCGCATAGGCTTTCGAGAAATAAATACTGGAGATCTATATACCCTATTGTACTGTCATTGTTATCTTAGCACATTCCAATAGCTGACGCACGATGCCACATCGCGGTGTCAAAATAAAGTTCAAATCCTACATAAAACGAATGAAATAATAAAGAACAGTTGGTGACTCTAAGGAAAAAAGTTCGCCATGGTAGAAGATCTGACATCAAAACAAAACCCAGTAACACTCAACGAAGCAAAATATAAATCTAAAGTCAGAACTGCGTATATAGTCAGAACGGAAGGATAATGATTGCTTTAATTTTCGATACATAGTTATTTTCATACGCTCTCGGGAAGGTTACAATAGAGCTATTGCCCTCGGCAAGCCTCGGGCAAATTTGAAGATTTAGGTGTGTTTTGTCAAAGTCGAAGGAACTTTCTAGCCAAATAGTTTATTTTATTGTATTGCTGTGGCGTATTTGCTGTCGATGACAAAAGAATAAGATGGGCACTTCCCCTCTTATAAAAAAAGTTTTAGCAACGCCCTTAATAGGAAAGGACACAAAACAGTCAGATAAAGACTAATACAGAGATAAAGAAAGGGACAGAGAGAGAGAGAGAGAGAGGGGGAGGGGGAGTGAGAGAAAGAGAAAGTGATAGAAGGGGGAGGAGAAGTGGCTAGACACAACATGATAAGGATTAAATGCATGATGTCATTTCATTGTTACTTTTACTTACTGGAGGTGGTGGTTTCTTCATATGCCGTTGTGTCTGACATCGTTGTCGTAGGGCTCGTCATGGGTTTGGTGGTCGCGTCCGTAGTCAATGATTCACTTGACTCTGAAACGATTTTAACAAACATAACAGAGTTAAAAAATTAACATGATATAGTTGATGGTTCAGGGTTATAAAAAATGAAAACATAAATTTTAACAGTTTATTTCTTTTATAAGGTATAATTTGTGTCCGCATATTTTTAGATTTAGTGGTGTTTTATCAAAGCCCAAGGGACTTTTTTGTCACATAATGTATCTAACTGTGTTCCTGTGGCGTGTTTGTTGTCCTTAAACTCGCGTTCTTAAAAAAAAGACATGTAATACCCCCACCCCCTCCCTAAAAAGAAGTTTCATCAATGGCCCTGTAAGCAACGGATAAAGAAAAAAGAGTCAGGTAGAGACTAATAGAGAGAGGGAGGAAGAAAGGGAGAGAGGGGTGGAGGGGGTTCGGCAGGGGAAATGTGTGAGAGGGGGAGGGAGAGACAAAGAGAGAGAGGGAGAGAGAGGGTGAGGGGGGAAGTGGTAGTGGCACATTATAACAAAGATCGAAGGAATGACGTCATTTCATTGTTTTTCTTACTTACTGGTGGTGGAGGTTTCTTGCGATGATGTTGTGTCTGACATCGTGGTCGTAGGGCCCATCCCGGGCTTGGTAGTCGATTCCGTAGTCGATGATTCTGTTGACTCTGAAACGTTAAAAACAAACGTAACTGAGCTAAGTGATCATGATATAGTTAATAGTTCAGGGTTTAATATAATGAACCCACACGTACAAATCAATGTGATTAGGAATGGCACCTAAACAGGATTAGAAGGCACAAACGTGGACAATTTAGCTCCAGGAAAATATATAAACTTTGAAAGCTCATTTCTGTTGTAAAGTAAACAAAAACAATAATAAGACGAGCACTTTCCCCCTTATACAAAAATGTTTTAGCAACGTCCGTAATAGGAAAGGACACAAAACAGTCAGATAAAGACTAAGACAGATTTTGAGAAAGAGAGAGAGAGGGGGGAGGGAGAGAAATAGAGAGTGATAGAAGGGGGAGGGGAAGTGGCTAGACACGTGATGATAAGGATTAAATGCAAGAGGTTATTTCATTGTTTATCTTACTTACTGGAGGTGGTGGTTTCTTCATATGCCGTTGTGTCTAACATCGTTGTCGTAGGGCTCGTCATGGGCTTGGTGGTCGCGTCCGTAGTCGATGATTCACTTGACTCTGAAACGATTTTAATAAACATAACTGAGTTAAATGACCATGATATAGTAAATGGTTTAGGGTTATAGAAAATGAAAACATACATGCTAACAGTTTATTTATTTTATAAGGTATAATTTGTGTCAGCAAAGCCCAAGGGACTTTTTGTCACATAATGTATCTAAATAAAAAGAATTGGATGAGTACTATCCCCCTTTAAAAAAGGGTTTTAGGAAATAGTAAAACCCTGTTAAAGGAAAGGACAAAGAAAAAGAGAGTCAAATAAGGACTGAGAGAGAAAGAAAGAGAGATTAGAGAGGGGCCCGCGGCGGCGTACTTTTCCCCCACCTGAGCTCCGGTCCCGCAGTATGAACTCATTTGTATACAGCCAAACAGAGCTCATCTTGTCAAAAACAAGCTTTTGCCTAGGACGATTTTCCCTACCCGGCGGCTTGCCGTGGATTTAGAGACCGTACGAGAACCTTCCGATTTTCATATCTACGGCGTGTGTGGTCACATATTCGGCGGGGCCCGGGAGGTGCCCGGTGAAAAGTGGTCGAGTGAAATGCAAGGCGCCCGTAAGGGTGCCGGCCGGTAAGCTTACGGGCTCCTTCCGATGAGCAGGTGCACCCATGGCTTCCGGAAGGTGCCGTGCGGTGCACTGAAATAAGTGTCCTCTGACATCCACACCTCCTGTATTTAAAGCTACGTTGCATATTTTGATATGCCGCCGTAAGGGGCCCGCACGGGCAATGTTCATTTCAAATGGGCACCGGGCGTCTGCCGTCCGGGGTCCATTTGAAATGAAGCTCTGGGCTTCACACACTTACACACAGTGCGTTAGCCTATATCAGCATGCATGGTTTGCATACATAGGCATAGGCTTGCAAATGTTTCATTTCTGCTCTAGCATCTCTACCTTTAGCAAATTCATTACAGATCTACAAATATCAGCTTATCAAATCGCTGTGAAAAACTGTTACTTAGCACTAAGTTACAATTACTCTAGCAATCAAGGATAGGCCTTTCTCGTCATCGAAGCCACTATATATTAAATGGACCCATTTCTAAAGATTGTACGGTTGAGAATTTATCATAGATCTATACACCTCTAAAAGGCTCTAATATAATATTAGCTTATGAAATTGCCGTTTAAAGTTATTACTTAGCGCCAGATCTTATGAAATTGCCGTTTAAAGTTATTAATTAGCGCTAGATCTATTACATCAGCCGTAGGAATGACAATCGCTGGAGCTCAGCAATCACTCACTGGACACCATATGAGGGAAGACGAAACAGGGGACGTCAAAGAAAAAGATGGAGAGACGAGTTGCAACAGTTCTGGGGACAGACAAATTTGCACCAACAGGCGCTGAACAGAGGCATTTGGAAACATCATGCTGAGGCCTTCATCCTGCAGTGGATTGACAACGGCTGATAAAGTAAGTAAGTAAAAAAGATCTAAATTTAAAATATTCTAGCAATCAATGATAGGCCTAATCGTCATCGAAGCCATTATATAGGGACTAATTTCTAAAGATTTTATGGCTGAGAAATTTATTATAGATCTACACCTCTAAAAGGCTCTAATAATATCAGCTTAAGAAATTGCTGTGATGTTCTCAGGTAAGAATTCCTGCAATAAAAGAAGTAACAAATAAAGCTGATATTATTAGAGCCTTTTAGAGGTGTATATAGTCTAGAAAATCTAGATCTATAATAAATTCTCAACCGTAAAACCTTTAGAAATGAGTCCTATTAAATATAGTGGCTTCGATGACGAGAAAGGCCTATCCTTGATTGCTAGATTAATTGTAACTTAGTGCTAAGTAACAGTTTTTCACAGCAATTTCATAAGCTGATATTATTAGAGGTGTAGATCTGTAATAAGTTTGCTAAAGGTAGAGATAGTCCAGTAGACGGTACCATATACCTTGTACATGACCTTCCAGGCTTCTTGGATTAAGATTATCAACATTATTACATACTGCACATATATGCTAATTAGATGATTATGCTAATTAGGCTAACTATACTACATCTACATGGAATATCTTCTCATGAAGTAATGATTAGTCTTTCAAAAGTGATTTACAATGTTGCATTGCACCATCTTTAGGCTTTATAGATAAACAATGACAATGATAGTCCAAGTTGTACACAAAGTCATGCTTATTAATATTAGCTCATTATGCTTATTATGCTATTTAAGACAATTTCATTACTTGAAATAAAAAACTTGTGTCATAAATGAATTCCTCGTCATAGAAAACCCTTGAAAAGTCGTATTATCCATGTTTTCAGGCTTTCTGGATTGAGATTAGCAACATTATTACACATGCACATTATGCTAATTAGATGATTTTATACTAATATGGCTATTAAAACAGTTGCCCAAGGTCGCCAAGCTGGCAACCCAGCTGAATTTACTTCAGTACCCATCTAGAACACAAATCAACAAAAAAAAAACTTTGTACTTAACAACTTTTCCAGGTCTGAAAAAAAGATGCTAGAGCAGAAATGGAACATTTGCAAGCCTGTGCCTATACATGCACACCATGCATTCTCATTTATGCAAGACGCTGTGTTTACGTGTGTGAAGCCCAGAGTTTGCACCGTTTCGAGTTTCGCATCTATAGCACGCCTAAAGCTTGATGAGCAAGATGAGCTCTGATTGGCTGTATGGAAATGAGTACATACTGGGGTCCGGAGCTCAAGTGGGAAAAAAAATTACGCGGCCCGGTGTTTGAGAGAAAGAGGAAGATATATGGCGTGTTCACACCGCAAGGGGGACCTTGGGCGGACCGTGGATCGCGCTATCGTAGCGCGACCCACTGTCCGCCCATTGGTATTCGCCGGATCCACACCGCATTGAGATAGCACGGTCTATCGGAGCACCCCCTTTTTTGAGAGGTGTTGCAATGACGCGTGACGTCATGAGCTCAGAGCGGTCAAAGAATCCGAGCGCTATTACGAACTAGGAGTGTTGAGTTGTACCGATTCAGATTCAGATGCTATCGTATCGTTCAGATGCTAGCGTGCTATCGTAGCTCGGGTTCACACCGGCAGAGATAGCGCGGTCTAGCACGCGCTAGACCACGCTTTCTCTCGTGGACCACCCCCAAGAGGTGCTCCAGTGGCACGTCGTTTTGGCTCGCCGTGGCTCGCTGTTGGGCGGATCGAAACGACGTTGTACCTTCCACACCACAGAGATAGCGCGGTCTAGCACGCACTAGACCGCGCTATCTCTGCCGGTGTGAACAGCCTCATAGAGAGGGGAAAAAGAGAGAGGGAAGGGGAAGTGGCTAGACACATTGTGATAATGATCAAATGCATGACGTCGTTTCATTGTTTCTCTTACTTACTCGAGATGGGGGTTTCTTCATATGTCGTTGTGTCGAATGTCGTGGTTGTTGGGCTCGTCGTGGGCTTGGTCCTTGCGTCCGTAGTCGATGATTCTCTTGACTCTGAAACGGTATAACAAACATAAAACTGAATTCCAGACTTCGAAGAGATTCGTAGATGGGGCATATTTTATCAGGTACCTCTTAAGGCGTTCGTACGAACGCCGTCTTTTTTTCTCGTTTTTTTCTCGTTAGAATGACTTGATTTCTTCTTACGTCAGACTTACGGCTAGCTTACGAGTTTCTGTTCTCGCAAGATGGTCGTACGTGTAACTGACGGCATTCTCAAGTCCTTCGTAAGATGATCTTACGATTTTGTTGTATATTTTTCGGGGATGCTAAAAAACCGCTGCAAAAATTGCATAAATTGAGTTGGTACACTTTTCGAACGTCTTACGAACGCCAGGAGTCGTTTATACAAAGGCCGTACAAGTCTCCGTTCGTTATGCGTTCTTACGAACGCCACAAGTGCCCTCTATGAACAACTTAACCCTATCTAGCCCGGGGAGGGGGGGGGGGGGTTGTACTGAAATGTTGTGACTCTTTTCTTTCGAGTCTTGCGTATCTTTTGAAAGAAATTTTTCGAAAATCGGACCTGCCTTTACAAAGTCACGTGTCCTTTTGTCTTTGCATGTCAGTCCGAAAATCTCTCATTTTTGTGATTTGCGTACAAAACATATGGAAATCTCATTTTTCAAATAAAGAGATAAAACATTAGTTATTTTGTCTTGTTTATAGTTTAGGTGTTTATTTTGGGGTAAAAATAGTTGAATTATATTTGGAAAGGAAATAAAACAACAAAAACAATAAAATACATCAGTTAAAAAAACAAAGAAATACATAAGAAATTATCAAAACAATAGATAACATAAGGAATAACCCTGGTTTTCAATTTGTTGTGTTGTATTATTATTCCAAATGGTCTAACAAATAAATGTAGTGAGAAAGAATACTTAAATATGAATAATGTCTGATTTATGGGCAAAAATATGAATTTTATGACCTTATTTGCATAAATTACCATAGTATTCTATACACTTCACTTGATATGTATGCAAATTTTCGCAGTGATCAGTCTTTTCACGGCCGAGATCATGACCCCCCCCCCCCCCCCCCACACCCGGGCTATGCAGTTTCAAAATAGCCCGGGCTAAATAGGGTTAAGGCATTCTGACGAACATCGTAAGAATTTGAGGATTCTAGAATTCTCGACCCTACGAAATGTACAAAGATCGTGCGTGGTTCTTACGATGTTATCACGACGTTCGTACGACCGCCTAGTGAAGAGTCGGTGTCGTACGAGGTTTTAAAAATCTTTGACAAGATTATCGACCTGTCTGCGAACTTACGTACGGTCTACTAACGCCTTCTTAAGAAGATCTTACGAAATGGTCTGAAAATCATTCGTACGGTGTTCGTAGCAGTTTTTAATGGTATTTGTGACCGAGGCTTATCAAAGTCGAAGAAACCTATATTTCAGCCAAATAATGTATCTAAATGTATTGCTGTAACGTATTTGCTGTCGTTGACAGCAAGGTGTTTTCTTCTTCATCATCATCTTCTTCTTCAGTTGCAACTACGGAATTTTAATTTACTCCCTGTAGAAAGTCTCTTCATGCTTTTTATTTATTAATTGACCACCCCTCCCCCTGATACGCCTATTATATTACACCTACGTTTATCGCAATGTCTCCCTTGAAACCCACGTGAGCAGTTACAGTTGTAGCCTACCATAGTCTCCACACACAAGCCGTTTTTACAGAGATCTTTGACACAATCTGCGAAATAAGTAAGAACGGGATAAAACAAAATATCATTACATTCTGCTCTGTTGGGTGTGAAAAGTAGTAGTAATAGTAATTATAATTATAGTGGGAGTGGATATTTATAATATCATTTCAAAATGTATGATCTGTAGTTTTATTGATTGATTAGTGAAGAAAAAAAAAGAATTTGACATTTGAGAACTAAAATGAATATCAAGAAAGCATGATACTAACCCGGGATTCTGCATATTATATGTTGGCCAGGAATTTTTCCAGCGATGACAGCAGGGGGAGAGAAGAGTTTTGGGACAGTCTGCAACATGGTGCCATTGGGTAGTCGCACCATGTCACACTTATAGGACCTCGGCGAGGTGCTTTGCTGGCTGAACTTGCCTGGACAAGATGTTTTCGTCAGCTTGGACGAATCCGACAAAACAGGCAAGACTGTGTGGAATAAAACAAAAAGAAAATCAATAGTGAACTCTTCCTCCTCCTGCCAGGCGCGTACGCAGGATTTTTTCAAGGGGGGGGGGGGGGTTAACATTTATAAATTTCGCAGCGACTCGGCCAGCCGCTGAATAAGCAGGAGGGGGGGGGGGTAAAAACCGTGTCGATGTGCCATATAAGTGCCCTTTTGTGGGGCATTAATCCTCATTACTGTCATTTATGACTTAAGGGCGTAGACCCCTAGTTGATATGCATAGAAGCATACACATGCTTTAGCAGTCACGCAAAACAAACACGGGCAAATTATTTCAATAAAATATTACTATTATCTATATCTATTAGGAATAAATCATTGTCAAAATAATTCCATAAATTGGAGTAAAAAAATATTCTAACTATATGAGCGACAGTGTATGAAGTCTATATCATTCTTACCCAAGGACAAAAAGGTTGCGGTACCAAACAGGAACTTCCACAATACACCGATCTGTTGGTCTTTAGCCTGTATTTAGAAGGAAAAAATTAGATTATAGAAACAAATAGGACAAGAACAAGAGTTTACAAGAACAAAATGACAACAAGAGAAAAAAACTTAATAGTGAAGTAATCATGGTGACCCTATCAGATATTATCAGATCTTGAGGTTAGTCGTGGCAATCGTGTTGATCAAAGGAAAGTTTTGGATGGTAAAAAAATAACACGATCAACCGGATTAACTGTCAATCGTGGTCATCGCATCACATCGTATTGGATCTTAACAAAGTGCAACACAAGGCATCTAATCGTGCTCCCTAATCGTGGTAATCGGGATCAACCATGGACCACGCTCTGATGAAATGTGTTGCAATCTGCCACGATCTGTAACGCTCTGTCAGGTACCATTCTTCTGGTCAAATGAATCATTTTATAGGAGTTGTTATTAGGCCCCCAAATGGTAACTTTAATGATTTTGTAAATGAAATTCAGTCAATTTTAGACAATCCACTTTTAGTTGGAAAGTCACTCGATCTTATGGGAGACTTTAATTTTAATTTATTATCTTGTAATAACGATAATCGAATTGATGTTTTTCTAAACATGTTAATGTCTTTCTCATTATTGCCCCTAATCACTAAGCCAACAAGAATAACAGAAGTTTCCAGTACTTTAATTGACAATAATTTTTTTTGTAATGTACAACCATATCCACCCTCTGGAATTATAGTATCTGACATGTCTGATCATTTTCCTGAATACTGTATGTTGTCTTTGGTGAAATTGAATTGTGAGCCTAGAGGCCGCACGTCTGTCCGTAAAGGAACTCCTGAAAATATTGCCAAATTGAGAGAGGCATTAATTGCAACTGATTGGAATGATGTTCTTTCAGACCAAAATGTTGAAAATGCTTTTGATAATTTCTTTAATAAATTCATGATGTTGTATGGTGAGAATGTTCCTCTGGTTGAATATAAAAAAAAAGAATTAAAATAAAGTTCCTCGTATGCCATGGATAACTAAATCAATATTAAGGTCAATTACTAAAAAAAATAAGTTGTATTATCAATATAAAAGGAGAAGCTCTGATTTCTTGAGGAGAAAGTATTCTAATTATAGAAATACTCTTACTTCTGTATTGCGTGATGCTAAGAAACAATATTACTCTGCTCAATTTCAAATGACATTTAATAATATTAGGAATACATGGAAAGTAATTAGAAGTTTTTTTAAACCATCAGTAAAAACTACAAATATCAAATGTATAAATGGGGAATGGTTGTTCCGTAGAAGATAGACAAATTATTGTGGACAATTTTAATGATTTTTTTTGTAATGTCGGGCTGAAACTTCAGGACTCTATTCCTAGATAAAAAAAAAAGAAAGAAAAGCTTTATTGAGTTTAACCCAATATAGATAGCCTATTTTTAATGCCCACAAATGAAATATAATTGTTTAAACTGGTGAGCTCGCTGAAAAGTTATAAAAGTCCTGGCTTTGATGGCATAAAAAATGAATTAATTAAGGATATTATACATGGAATTGTGATACCACTTGTTCATATCTATAATTTGTCTTTCTTATCTGGTATTGTACCAGGACAAATGAAAATTGCTAAGGTAGTGCCAATATTTAAAAAGGGTGACCCTCAAACATTAAGTAATTATAGACCCATTTCATTATTGACATCCTTTTCAAAGCTTTTAGAAAAGCTTATATAATTATAATAGAACAGTGATGTTTTTAAAAAAAGACAAAAATATTTTCAAAATTCCAGTTTGGCTTTCGTGAAAAGCACACCACTACACATGCAATTTTACACTTTGTTGATAAAATAGCTCAAGCACTAGATGGTCACCTTCTTACAATTGGTTTATTTTTGGATTTCTCTAAGGCGTTTGATACGGTTTTTGGCCCCCTTCTTTTTATATTATATATTAATGATTTTTATCTTTCATCTGATGTACTATCTTTCATATTTTTTGCAAATTTTTTGCAAGTGTATTTTTTTTCTCATAAAAACCCTGAAGTTTTATTAGATACAGTTAATATGGAATTAAAGAAAGTTATTTTGTGGATTCATGCAAATAAGTTGTCCTTGAATCTTCAAAAGACAAACTATATGTTCTTTAGTAACTCCCTAAAGGATGTACCTGGAAATGTATTTTGTGATGATGTTAATGTTGTGAGAGTAACTTCCACCAAGTTTCTTGGGCTACATATTGATGACAAGCTGTCTTGGGCACCTCATTGTACTAATACTTGTAAAGTCGTGTCTAGAAATACTGGTGTAATTTATAAATTAAGTTCTTTTGTCCCACAAGAAATTTTGCTTATGTTGTATTCTACTTTAATTTTGCCTTATCTAAATTATGGAGTGCTGGCATGGGGGAAGTCATTGAAAACACAATTAGATAAGATTTGTGTTGCCCAAAAGAGGGTGGTTAGAGTTGTTTTTAATGCGAGCTATCGTGCTCATACTAATGTTTTGTTCTACAGTAATAAGCTATTGAAGGTTGAAGATATTTACTTTTTACAGTTAGGCGCAATTATGTATGGTTTTGAAAATAGTACTCTCCCAAATGCGTTAGTACAAATATTTCGAAAGAACAATCAAATTCATAGCTATACTCTCTAAAAAAAATCGAGTGATCACGGACGTCACTCTTCTGGAGAGTGAAAATGTAGTGAAAATAGAGTGAACATTCACTCTTTTTTTCTTAGAGAGCACTCTAAAATCAATCGGTTCACTTCTAAACAAGTGATCACGAACGTCACTCCCAAGAAAGTGAAAATAGAGTGAAAATTCACTCTATTTTTAAGAGAGTAATACAAGGCAGGCAACTGCACTTCATATTCCACGTGTAAGGACTGCTTTTGCTCTGAAGACGCTGGCTTGTACTGGTCCCACGTTTTGGAACTCACTTCCTATCAATGTAACTAGATCTGTCAGTGTCTTTGTTTTTAAACGCAAATTGAAATTACATTTATTGAGTAACTATGTCGACAATTAACGTAAAAATTATATCACCAGAAATAATATTAGGTAATAATTTATCAATTGTTATTGATAACGTGCATTATCTTTTTGCTTTTTGTTATGTTTGATTATTCAATATAAATGTCAGCATTTCACATTTTCTCCCCCCCCCCCCTCCTCTCTTTTCTTTTTCTTTTTCTTTACACCAAATACCATTTTCCCCTATATACATATAACATTCTTCTTTCTCTGTTTTTTTCTCTGTTTTGTTATTTTCTCGTTCCAGTTTGACTTTTTCCTCTCGATCCCTTTGTATATATTTTCATCCTCTCCTTTTCAAATTTCAAGCTATCCCTTTTGTGAATATTTGCCCCATATTTAATCATGTGTAGTTTTGATAACTTTGAAACATTTTTAAAAGTGAAACATTGATGAATTATGTTATATATGGACCTTGCTCTTCTAAGGTCTCCACTTTCTTTCATTTGGATTATATATCGACTTAAAATTGCACTTAAATTGTTTTTTTCTTATGCCGTTTTTTGTTCTATTATTATATGTAAAAATGTTGTGAAAGAAAGAAATAAAATGAACCTTGAACCTTGAACCATTGCTCACGACCTGACACGAATGACTCACAAGCAGATACAAGTTGATACGAGTAGATGCGAGTAAATGCGAGTAGATACGAGAAGTCACGCTTTTTCAAGCACGTTCACGATCTGTTACGAGTTCTCGCGCCCATATTATACACTTCCTCTCCTTCACTCTTTCTTCTTAATCTCTCTCTCTCTCTCTCTCTCTCCTCTTTCCCTCTCAACCATCTAATTTGTTTCTCATCCACTTTCATTCTTTTTATAGTCCTTAATCATAATAACTCCTTTTCCTTCACTCTATCAGCTTCTTCAACCCACACTCTCTTCTTCTTCATGTTAATCTTCCTTCTCTCCCCTCCACCCCCATCTCTCCTTCCTTCTCTATCTCTCTCCTTCTTTCTCTCTCTCTCTCTCTCTCTCTCTCCTTATCAATCATGGAAATGTTATGTAAACATGCATACCATTAATTAATAGAATTAATAGAAAGTTGTGCCCATACAATCAGAAAATGATAGATATCAACCTGATTTATTTCAATGACATAATAGACAGATATATACATCCAGCTGTTAATTTTGCAGCGTGTAACTTATAATGCCATACTATGAAGTATAAGGTCAAAAAATAGATTTTGTTCAGAAAATTGCTGTTTACACAAGTATTATAATGTATTACATTATAGTAAATCTTTTAACATGGAAATTTGTTGTTGTTCTTGCACTGAGTATGGACAATGAATGAGTTAAAATTATCTCCCTCTTTTAAGTCCGTAAAATGTAAGTCACCTAGATTTAACAAAATTGCTGTAAGGACCCTAAATTGAGTGAGCACTAATTTAATTTGTTTTGGCCCTCGAAACTTTGAAAATCGCACCCCCTCCCCCCCTTAAGCGCTAGGGGGGGGATCTCCAAAAAAAGGTATAGCCCTACATAGGATTGTTGCTGTTGGGGACCGGGAGAAAATGCAATGAATTATTGATAATTTATTGCATTTTCTTTGTTTTTTGTATTTGTGGGGGCGGCGACGTACCCTAGCCCCCGCTAAGTACAGTCATCTATGATTCAGCGGCTGAGCAATGTCCTCGTTACTGTGAGGCCCCATAATAGAAACCGTGTCGATCAGCTATATTAGTGCCCTTTTGTGAGGCATTTATCCTCATTACTGTCAGGTATGACTTAAAGGTCCCATTTGCAGGCAAAAAAAAATGAGAAAGTTAAATTCCAACGGTATTTGAAAGATAATACTAATTTAAAACTTCCCTATAATAGGGCGCTTGAAAATGTCTTTAAGTGGGAAAATAACGACTATTAGTTGCGAATCGCTTTAAGAGCTATAGAGCTAGTAAGTAATAGTCTGATTTCCAGACCATTGTACCGAATGGTCGTACGTTTTATGCCTTCAGTTTAATTTTGGCCATTACAAGAAGTGGGTTATTGATGAACAGACAAATACTTATGTACCCTTTACAGCTCATTTTATGTATGTTATTACCAAATAAGAAAAAAAAAGCCATTCAGTCACTCAACAGTGTCTGACAGTGAAGTCTAGCAAGTTAATGAGTTTCCTTGCATACGTTGAAATTTCACAAATAGGACACACATGACATATTCATAATCCCTGCAAAGTTCTACAGAATTTGAAGTTAGCTGCAAAAGGGACATAGTATCTTAAGGACGTAGGTCTCCTAGTTGATTAGAACCGTAGCACACACATGCTTTAGCAGTCACGCAAAACAAACACTCGCAAATTATTATTCAATAAAATCTGAGAATGTATACTATTATTTAGATCTATTAGGAATAAATCATTGTCAAAATCATTCCATAAATTGG